TATTATTATTATTATTATTATTATTATTATTACTATTACAACCTCTTTGCCCTATTTTTATTTTGGAATTACAGTTTGCGGGAGACAGTTGTCACTAAATGAAATAAAATAATTGTCAGAACAGGGTGCAGAACAGAAATAGTTAAATTCACTATTAAGTGCCTCTCTGCTTACACACTAATGAACACAGTGCACACTCAGTTCCTATAAAAGAATACATGTGCCCTTAAAAATCCTGAAGGTCATTTCAGGTTTGAGCAGGGAGTGCTCACTTGTCTAAGGAGACTTTAGACAGGAGACCTCAGACAAGTACTAAAATTACAAGAACTGGATATGAATTTAGGACATGCCTAGTTGAAGGTATTGCCATCTATAAATGCAGACCTTGGTATGGGCTGGATGAATAAATAAATAAATAGGGATTGGTAGGTAAATAGACAATTAATAGTAAATTAAATGTCCCCATCTTTATTTTGCAGATAATCCTGTTGCAAATTGGATTCATGCACGTTCTACAAGAAAGAAAAGATGTCCTTATACGAAGTATCAAACGCTGGAACTAGAGAAAGAGTTTTTATTCAATATGTACCTAACACGGGACCGCCGTTATGAAGTGGCCAGGGTTCTTAATCTCACGGAGCGCCAAGTCAAAATCTGGTTTCAGAACAGGAGGATGAAAATGAAGAAAATGAATAAGGAGAAAACCGATAATAAAGAGCAGCAGTGAAACTGGCCCCAGTCCCTCAAGTCAGTGGAGAAATCAAGGCGCTGGTTCTTCCTGAGAAAGAAATTGTTCCTGACTTTTCCCCCCTAATGTTCTGATGACTGTTTAGAAGTAGTTAAACACGGCAAACCTTTCTGGAACAAAAATGAGAGAGACAGAGGCAGAGAGAAAGAGGAACATAAAGAGTGCTTTTCTTTACAAATGCAAAAACACACACACACAAAAATCCCTACCAATTGCAACTAAAAATAAACTTTTTTTCTTTTCAGAAAAACAACAAAGTACTTGAATTTTTGGGTTAGTATTTTATTTTGTAAGTTAAATTTATCCAGTGATATTTTTTTTAATTATTTTATGATGTTGTGGTTGCATATTTTGTACAATGGAAAGAAAAAAAGTGGGGAGGGGGGAAAGAAGGAGAAAGGAAAAAAATGGTGGGGGGAGTGATTGCTCAAAACAATGTTTCTGTCATCGTGTCGAACGTTTCTGGTGTACTTATTTGTGTCTTCTCTGATTGTCACAGAACCGTTCTGTAACGCTGTTATGTTTTGCTATAGTAGAACAGCTTTCTGTAAATATATACCTAACGTCACGCAAAAAAAGGAGGAAAAAAACGTCGGTAATCAAGGTGTCTTTTTTTAAAATTTAAACTCCTATGGAGGAATAATACACCCTCCCCCTGAATAAGTTGTAAAAGGAGGAAAGAGCAGGGGGAATTTTGTTTGGGATTCTTAACGAAACAATCCCGGGGAAAGATGTCCATTTAATTACCACTGATTTCCTTCGGAAAATATTTAGAAGAATAGAATATCTGCTCTCAGGAAGTTGGTAAGGATAGGAAAAGAACAGACCTTCGGCTGCCAATATTTACTATCTTTCTTTCTCTCTCTCTTCCTCCCTCTTAGCTCCTGTCCCTTTCTCTGTCTTTTTCTCTAGATATATCTATATCTGTCTAATGTCAGGTTCATAAAAAAGAGAAGTTTCGGTAAAAGGCGGCAGGGTGCTCTGCATTTTAATTTGGGGTAATTAATTGTACTAATTTATGACCCAGGGCAATCAAAGAATGTGTACGAGATTAAATATGGGCTCTAGTCCGGTTTTGCTTGCAGATAGTCCTTTACTTTTGTGATCGCTCAGAGACAATTCTATTGGAACGCCTTGGGATTATCAATGAAGTGCCAAAAACTTGTTACTGCCTCGCCTGGGGGCCCAAGCAATTACGAATTAGGTTCGTAATGTACCACCACCACCACAGGGGAGAAAAAAAAGAGCAGGGGGGGTGGTGTGTTCCTAATGGTAGGTGTTAGGACTGAATAGTGAGAGAGTATCATCTAAATAATAATAAAAAGCTTAAAATGTTATAAAGCCTAAGGGAGTGGAATTCGGATCGGAAGGTTCCCCGCCCCCGCGCCCCCTCGCCTCGCCTCGGCCCCTTTTAAAGCCGCTTTGAGGACAAGGCGCTTTCCTGGTCTTTCTCGGGCAGGCAGAAGGAGAATCTAAGAGTGTTAAAACTCCGAGGGCTGCACTGTTAAGGAACGACTTAAGCGACACGAGGCCGGCGGGAAAGGTGGCAGCGCGAGGCGGGAGCTCTGTGATGGCTGGGAGTCCAGGGCTTCTCATTCTCCATAGTTCATTTTAAAATCTTTCCTACAAAGGCAGGTCTCCCTGTTGCCAGGGCCGGTTGATGAAAGTCAAAGGATTAAAAAAAAGGAGCAGTCGGCGAGAGGCTTCATCGCAACAACTTGTTATCAAGTGCTCCTTTCCTTTAAAGAAAGAAGCCAAATACCGTTTCCATTTTTCTAATAGTAAACAGATCAAGGCTAACCGCGGTTTGGGATTCGCCCGCCGGATCCAAGCCTCCATAGAAACAAAAAACAAATAAATATGTTTTTTAAAAAATATCTGGAAGCCTTGGCCCCGCCGATGTCCTCAAATAATTACTTCGTAAAGTTTTGTCTGCCTTTTCGTTCCAACAAAATAAGTTTGCAATCATCTAGGTTGCATAAGGCAGGAGAGGTGGAACTTGGGAGCAGAAGAACGGTATCCGAGTCAACAAAAGCCCAAGAGCAAAGCTTAGCCTTGTGCAGTTTTTCCAGAGGGTCCGAGCACCCAGCAATGCGGAAGGGCAGGAAGGGTTGGAAAGTCCCATCCAAAGGTGGAATAAATAAATACGTGTAATTCCCCCTCCCCCATTTTTCTTTTGTCTGCTGTAATAGGCAGGAATGGTGGCGGTGGCGGTGATGAGCTATCAACAAATAGTAGTTATAACCCTGTATCCAAAGTGCTTTTGGAAAGATAAAACAAAAAAGAATATCTGTCTTTAAAATCCTTCCTTCCTTCCTTCCTTCCTTCCTTCCTTCCTTCCTTCCTTCCTTCCTT